CACGACTTGCAATCCCGTTCCACCCGAGAAGAAACTCCAACGCCAGCCCTCTCACGCCCTCAGGCAGCACAGCAAGTGCTGGCTGAGCATGATAGTATCGAGAGCTTCGAGGATGTTGCCGACGACGTGGATATCGATGCTGATCACGATCCTCTTGGGCTTGGTGCCAGTCGTTCACAGCAAACACAAGCGCAGCAACGGCGGCAACAACAACAACAGCAACATGGGGTCGACCAGCATCGCCCAGACAGCGTTCCCGTGTCTGCTGTTGGTGAGCACTCGTGGGCATGCGAATGTCTATGCCTGTTTTGTGGTTTGTGCTTTGCCCACCATGACCCTGCTGCTCATCGCCACGCTTGCCTGCTTTCTCCTTGTGCTTGCTTCGTCTCTTTCGACGAAGACGAGCCTTATCGACAGGTCTTCAAAAGCATCCGCTCCTTCAACCGTGTGCAGAGCCTGTGCTTCAATGATGTGTGTAGTGGCTTTGTGTGCAATCGCACAATATGTGTGTGTGTGTGCTTAGGGATATTGTTGTTGCGGTTCTGTCTGCGCTTGCATGAGCGTGCGTGTGGCGTTGTGTTGCACTTTTGGCTGCTGATTTCATTGACACCTTGTTTGCCCTTGCTGATCCTTGTGCGAACGAACTGTGCAGTTGTACCACAGCACCGACAACGTTGTGATCAGGTTCGAGTGCACGGCGAAACCGTTTGCATGGCCTCCTTCGTCCGTGTTCCTGGCTTGCGCAAACCCATGTCGCCCATCGATCAATCAACTTGCCTCTTCTCAATCATGTCTTCACGGTCCATGTGGCAGTGCACCCACGGGATGTGGCAAGACAGCGTGCATGGAATTGGCAATGCTGCAAGTGCTCAAAGCACGTACTCCCACAGACAAGGCCATTGTCATCTACAGTGAGCAATCTCTCTCTCTCTCTCTCTCTTGTGTCCTTTGGCTGTATTTGGACGGAGTGCATTGGCGTATGACTGCGTGGTGCCCGTACATCTTTAACACCACGCGCTTCATTGCTCGCTGCACCCCTGCTCGTATCTGCCACCAGTTGCGCCGATGAAAGCGTTGTGCGACGAACGCGAGCAAGACTGGAAGGAGAAGCTGTCTCCATTGGTGTGTGTGTGTGTGTGTATGTGTGTATGTGTGTGTGTGCGCGTGATTGTGATTGTGATTGTGATTGTGATTGTGATTGTGATTGTGACTGTGATTGTGACTGTGACTGTGATTGTGATTGTGATTGTGATTGTGTGTGTGCGCGTGATTGTGATTGTGTGATTGTGATTGTGATTGTGTGTGTGTTGCGTGGGTGTGTGCATGTTCAAGTGTGTGGCTGTTTCGCGGCTGCATTCTTCTTTCACCCTTCTTCATCGATTTGCTGCTGCAATGCGCCCACGCTTGCAGGGCCTGTGTGTGATGAAGATCACCGGCGATTCGCAGCTGGAGGATCTCCGCAACATCAGCTCTGCAGATGTTGTCATCACCACACCGGTCTGCGCCTATCTGCGCATCTTGCACATGGCGTTGATCCTGTCAATGGTGGTTGCAGCAGTGGTGGCGATGCACACACACACACACATACACACATGCAGACACACACACACACACACACAGACACACACACACACACACACACACACACACGCACATGCAGACACACACACGCGCAAACACACGCGCACACTCACAGATACGCACACCCTCTCTCACTTGCATGTGTGCTCGCGACTGCATCAGGAGAAATGGGACAGCATGACGAGGCGGTGGCGGGACAATCAGGCGCTAGCACGACACGTGCGCTTGCTGCTCATCGACGAGGTGCGCTCACGGTTGCATGTGCATGTCTGTATGTATGTCTTGTCTTGTTGGTTGTGTGCTCTCTCAGTGTATATGCTGTCCTCCTGTGCAAAATGGCCGCGCACTTGCTGTGTTGCTTTCCCCCTCTCGTGTGTCGACACGTTGGCGCTTCACCTTCTGTGCCGTTTGCTGGTTGCGTTGCAGGTCCACGTGATTGGTGAGGCGAACAGAGGACACACACTCGAGGTCGTCGCCACACGCATGAAGGTGAATACGTGTCGAGATGAGGAGCGCGTGAATGAGACACGACGGTGTTCTTGTCAACACACAAATGACAGCTTCCATTGCCTCACACGCACACCCACACATGTACACACACATGTATGCACACATGTACACACACGCACATATGCACACATGTACACACACACACACACACATGTACACACACACACGCATGCACACACATGTACACACATGTACACACACATGTACACACACATGTACACACACGCACACACACACACACACACACACACACATACACACAGACGATGGCCATGGGGACTAAGGACCACCCCGGCATCCGCATCGTCGCAGTGTCGGCCACTGTTCCAAACCTGAACGACGTCGCAAAATGGCTGCGCACGAATGAACGAAAGCCAGCACGCGCGCACCTGTACGGACTAACATGCGT